AGAAAGGAAAACTTGAAATCGCATGATATGACCCCTTTAAAATAACATTTTAGACATTACAGTAACACCAAATATATGATACAGACAAAACAGTGACATCGTGGAAGAGAATGAATGTGAATGAAAAGGTGAGGTATTATCCAGTATGAGCTCTAACAGCAAAAATCCAGTAGATACAGTATTTGATCATCGCTTTTTGGGGACATTTTCATACACAGCGTCAGTCTTTGATTTCTGCAAGGAAACACTAAAACAATCAATCAATCAGGAACCTTGCTGATGTAACAGAACTACTTTTATAATTGACTTCAGTAGTACTACTTGTAAAATCCTTAGTAGAACATCATTTTTCCATCAATTTTAGTTGATCTTGTACATTAAGATGATTTTTAATGTGCAATAACATATGCTAACATGGACCAGCATAAGGATATGACATCAAAAATCTTCATCACCAATTCTGAAGGTTTCTTACAACAGCGAAGTTGCTTGAATGATTGTCTTTCACACAAATGCAACAGCAAAGATCCTTGCTGCAGCTCGTCTACAAATCAACCAATGGTAGCTAAAGCTGCATTTCACCTCAGATGATCATGAACCGCAGAGCAGCTGCAGCTCGTGATCAAAGCACAGGTTAACAGCTTTGTGTTCTACTTTCTTTACAATGCAAATCTAATGGTATAAAACTGACTTTGTAAGGGATATTTCAGGATAACAAACCAATTTATTTATAGGTAGAACTGTTTAGATATGTTTTTAAACAAACCATGATTTAAATTAGTAGGCCACAGATACATCAGGAGCTGGCTTTGTAGCGGATTTAGGTTACAATTCATAACACCTAATTCATGATATGTGTAAATAAATCTCCATTCCATCAAACAGCAGCAGGTCAAAAAATATAAACGGGCTGTCCATAAACTAAATATGCATAATGAGGCAACTACACAGCTTCACTGATTATAATGGAAAAACTGCAACTTACACTGAGGAAAAAAGTACACAGGCTTAGTGTACACAGCACAAAAAAAAAAAAAAACTTTCTTAAACTATTCTTTTGATGTGCTGTCTACTGCAGGTAATGGTCGGGCCGATAGTCCACCCACATCTGTTCAATGACCATCTGATGCTGCAAACTTCAATCAGATTGACTGCAACACATCTTTTTGCAAAACAGTCATGAATGATCTTACCGTTTTTCGTGTTTTTGGTTTACACAATGCTGAATCAATTCTGTCTTCCTCTTGGGTCTGGGCTGCATTAACAATAATACAGACATATTAAAATGACAGTTGTATCAAAATTTATGTCTTAAAGATAAATATTCATGCAGCTTGTTCTTCTGACCTGTTTTTCTACATTTCCTGCAGATGCAGAAGATCACGACTGAAACTACAATCAACAGAGATCCAGCAGCAGAAGGAATCAGCACTATGTAAAATAATGGTAGGCCCTGATCTGGAATCGAAAAATTGAACCATTAGTGTCAGTGAATCTGTTTGTCTCATTTAAACAAAGACTATCAAATATCAGCAATATATAACTGAGAAGTCAGCTTAATTAATTCATGTTAATACCAACACCGACATACCTGAACATGGCCGACAGAGTTCAGTAATGTTGAGGTGCTGAGTCTGGTTGCTGATGGGATTGTTGAGCACACAGCTGTAGGTGTTTTTATCCTGATATTCCACCTCCAGAGGTAGAGAGAGACTGATGCTGAGATCAGACACACTGATGCTGGACAATAAACTGTTTCCTTTGTACCAGGAGAGAGTCACATGACTCACATTCACCACTGAACACAACAATGAACAATATGATGATGACGATGATGATGAAGATGATGATGATGATGATGATGATGAACAATCTCTGGTAATGTCAGGAGCAGGTAGAGGAGCTGGGAAATATGAGTGAATGAACATAAATACAGACAAACCTCAACATCGGTCTTATTTTTGGTGTATGTGTTGTTGACAACCAGTGAGTGTTTCCTTCAATTTAAAATATAAAATGATTAAACAATTCAGTATGCAAATATTTAAATGAATAATTTGGGTTCAGTATAAGTTAAACTCATTCTAAGGCAACGTTGACATAATGTTGATTATCAAAAATATGTAAAAGTAAATGTTAAAATACTCACCGTTTCAACAGTACAGCCACAAGATGAACAATATGAATGTTAACATGATTTTAGTGTAAAAAATAAAATCACAGTTTCTTAGTAAAGTTGTAATCCAATTTTTCAATCCAGCAACTTTGCCATGCAATACCATAAACCATAAAATTACTGTATTACTGTAAAATTATTTAAGCAGGAATTGTGCTTTTATAAAGTTTTCTTTTAAATCCTCTAAATATTGGCCACACCAACATCTATTATAAAGCCTCAGCATGACCTCAAAATGAGGGATGAGTCGGAATTACTTTGTGGTAGTCATAATGCCACAAATGTGAATTGAGTTTAACTTCTAAATACAACAATCAGGAAACAAAAGATCTCTACTCACCGTAGACAGAAACGCTGAATGTTTTTGATGACCGTTTCATTCCATTTATCTCTAGTTTATAATCTCCAGCGTGTTGAGTTGTGATGTTTGTGATGGTCAGAGATCCAGTTTGATGATCCACCTTCAGTCTGTCTCTGAATCTCCCATCAGGACCATCATATGTGGAGAAGATTTGGTTCTCAATGCTGATTTTAGCTATGAGGAATGTTTCAGCTCCAAATATCCACAGTATGTCGTCGTCTTCATGTATTTTAGTAACAAAAGTTTGTAAAGTGACTGAGTCTTCCTCCATCACATACACTGACTGTATTTCATTTGTTTTACTGCTAAACACACCTGAAAAACATACAGAAGCAGATTAAGACTTTTGTTGGTTTACAAATCCTGAAGTCAGCGGCTATTTGCTTTTAGACTAATGAATTTGTATTACTTTTATATGAATTTATTTGTAATCATTTACAAAAACATAAAAAAAAAACACAAAAAATTCGCCTTACATTTAAAAAAAAAAAAAAGTGTCTCACTTCCTGAGCCTCCACTGGTTGAGTTTATTTACATTTGAAATTTCCATATACTTTTTATTGACTTTTATAAATTTTATAACATTTCCATGCCTATAAGTCACAATTTTAAAACTATGACTGCAAAGCAGACCAGAACATTTTATCTCAGATTGATTTGATCTATCTGAGTTAACAGCAAGCGAAAACTAACAGTAGTTTGTTATGCTTTAATAAATAAAAAAACTAAATAAGCCATGCTTTTATAACTTACCAGTCAGACTCCACCAGCACAAACAGAACAAAAAAAACATTTTCTACAGTTGTTCAGTGAAAACTTTGACCTAAAAGGACTATCTGCTGAAAACAATCGCTGGTGTGAATCCTCCCCCAACAGAGTTTGACCCTCCTCATTCACATGATCTAAAACTCAGAACATTCTTCTGACTCTAAAGGCTTCAACAGTATTAATAGCGGAAACATTTGTTTGTATTTGTCATTTAACAATGATAATCTAAATGTCTTATGTATTAAATATGTATAAGAACATTTCTAATAAATAAATGGGGGAAAAACTTAAGTTGTTACTTAACTTACTTAAGTTGTTCTTGTTTTGTAATTTAATTGAATTACCCATATATAAATTATTGTGTATGAAAAAAAAAAAGAAAAAGTTAAAACCATCTGCTGTCTCTCACTACTAGTATTACTGAGGTGTGATATGAGCAGCTCAGCTTCTGAGTCAAACTGAAACCTGCTGCGGTCTGATTTCTGTAGAAACGGGGTGATCTGTAGGGTGGACAAACATCTTGTATGTGGCCATTGGTTTGATGTGTTAGTTTGTAGTTGAAGGGCTTCTTCTGGTCCCAGTGTTATGAATATGAGTATGCTGATTAAAGTTGAGATGATTATCCAATGTAATGCCAAGGTATCTGAAATGCTCTACAATTTTCATCTCTCCATCAATGATAATCCTGAAAGAATACATTGATGTTTTGGAGGAGCTTAAAAAATACAGTTATTTAGTCTTTGAGATATTAAGGTGGAGAAAGGTATCATCTCACCATAAAATATGCTATGGAACGTTGATAGTCCAAAAAGAATTCTCCCTGTCACTACAAATTTCCAAATGCTGCTATACTCCATGTATGTATCAATGTCCTGTTTATTTACCTTTAACTACCTATTGTTCGTATTAAGTACCTATTTTACTGTTTGTTGGTTTTTTTGTGTAGTATATTTGTATATATCTGTCACCGTTGTTCCCTGAAGGAACTATGATTTGCTTTTAACCATTGCCATGCAATGTGCTAAAAATGACAATAAAGTTGACTTTGACTTTGACTTTGACTTTGACTTTGATATGTGCATGGTGCTGCAGATGTAGAACATGGAAGGAGGAAAAACTTGGGCATGCGCCGTGATACTCTCAAAAATGGCGCTGAAGGAGAAGATTTGTTGAATAAAGTCGTTCTATTTGTTTTCTTTGCACACAAAAAGTATTCTAGTAGCTTCACTGATGTCACATGGACTGTTTAAACGATGTTCTTACTACGTTTCTGTGCCCAGATCGTGGTAGTTCCCTTGCTGTCTATGGAGGGTCAGAGTGCTCTTCGATTTCATAACAAAATATCTTAATTTGTGTTACGAAGATGAACAAAGGTCTTACGGGTTTGGAACGAAATGAGGGTAAGAGTAATTAGATAGAGTAGAGTAATTAATGACAGAATTTTCATTTTTAGGTGAACTATCCCTTTAAAATAATGGGCAGTGACAAATGGACTTTAAGGGTGTATACACACCAGGAAAGTCCGCTAGTTCACTTGCTTTGGTCCAGACCAAATACAATGTTGATTTTTTTTTTGTTTGGTGCGGCTCGCTTTCACACTGCCCTTTTTTGCAAGTAAACCAGAAATTGTAAACAAAACCACACATGTGCCAAGGTCATCCATTCATTGGACAGAAATTCTCAAGCAGGGAAAATAGGGAAGTGCAACAACAGGTTAATCATGGAGATCTTTCCTAGTGCAATTTTTATTATTTTACTGATTTGGTGTTATCAGCTACTAATGCAATATGAAGAAACTTATGAGCATCATATGAGACAATGTCATACGATGTTGTAATTACGACTTGCCGAAAATAAAATCTATAGATATAAAATACTTAAAGCATATCACAATGTTAGTTTAAACATTTAACCTATATAAATGTGCGCTATTAGGTGCATATCCAATCGTTTGTGTGGAGAGTAAGCTGAAGCGCGTTTCAGGACATCAGTGGAAACAAATTAAATATGCCGTCATTTTTGCTCATAAAGGTAAGAATAATACATCGTTTGGAACTGTAAAGGGTCTATTTTTAGTTGTGCGCCCTCACAATATCAAGAAAACTTTGTGCTTTTGTAAAATAAAGAAAACAAATAGGATGTGCTTGCCATCTCGGTCTTGAACAGGAGCGCTTCACAAAAATGGACCGAAACTCAGCGAATATTTTCCTTACAGACATGATGAATATAGACTATCTATAGAAAGCTTTAAATGACTACAAAACGTAAAGATGCATTTCTTTCTAAAGGCGCGTCCAATGATGAGGATTCATCAACTTTATTGCGACTCTGACTCATAAAACACTAATTTATTAGTAAATAATTCAAATATATCCTTACTATTTTCCCCCAACATAGTCATGGTAATTTTTGTGGCAAGCTTTAGCCTATTTAGCACACTCACATCACGTTGCTGTGCACCATGGTCACGAAAACTCATCATTTGCATGTGTTTTTAAGCATTGTGGTTTAAAAACAAGTGATTTAAGCATTGAAATGCAAATAACAGCACTATATGCGCTAGCTGTCTGTTTCGGAGCATGATTTCTGCAGTTGGGTCGGATCGAGGTCGGGTCATATTCACACCTTAAACGAACCGTACCCGAGTTTGTTTGGAAGCGGATCGAGACCACCTCTTTAGCTGGGTCTCGGTACGGTTGTTTGGTCCGCATCTGAGTGTGATTGCTGTATTCACACCTGCCCAAAAGATCCGCACCAAGAGGGGAAACGAACTTGAGTTCGATTCAATCGAACCAAACAAGACAGGTGTGAATACACCCTGGCAGTCATTTGTATAGAGAATATAAAGAAATGGACTAGGAATGCATCCCTGGAGAGTGCCAGCGTTGAGAACAATGGTAGGCAATAATGAATTTTCCACCTTTACCACTTGTGGTCTATTAGAAAGTAAATTATAAATCCAATGTATTAGTTGTGATGGAACTTGCAGGTAGTTTCTTGATAACCTGATGATGCTAAATAGAATTATAGGTGGAGCTAAAGTCAATGACAAGAAGTCTGGCATAATTTCCAGGAATACCCACATGTTGAAGTAAACAGTTTATGTTAGAATCACGTTAAAGAATAACATTTTGTCCAGTGTTGCATTCTGCACGCTGGCAAATCATCTCATTATAACAAAGTGAAAACCAGGGATCTCCCAGCTCCTGGAGAAGTACCATCATGCAGACTTCAGTTCCCATCCTGCTCAAACACACCTATCTGTAATTATCAAGCAGCCCTGAACACCTTGATTAGCTGCTTCAGGTGTGTTTTATTGGAGTTGGAGCTGAAATCTGCAGGACAGGAGCAGGGTTGGAGCCCCCTGTGTACAGACAATGTTAATGAGAGATGTATTATACAGTCTAGAGAGCTTCATTGATTGTAACAGAACTTTGTAAGATTGCAATGAACTAAGATGAGTGACAGCTATTTAGTGATTATAAAGGGAGCTCAGAAGACAGCACAGCCATTCCTTTCAACAGAACAACTAGAGAGTGTATGTGTGTGTTAGTTTATGCCAAGGTTCCTCAAATCTTTTCCTGGAGGGCCAATGCTCTGCAGAGTTTAGCTCCAATTCTGCTCAAACTCACCTAACCTGTGATTTTCTAATGATCCTGAAGACATTGATTAGCATGTTTGGGTGTGTTTGATTAGGGTTAGAGCTGAACTCAGAGTTGAGGATCCCTGTGGCCTGTAGCACGAAGCGAGATGAACAAACTCCGAGTTTCAGAGTAGGTTTAGAGTTGACAAAACCAAACAAATCCAACCTGGTTTAGATCTGGGGGCTGTTTCATAAAACACGTTTACCAAATAAGCCAGGCTTATTTCAGTTAGTCTGACTTATTGTCACTTGATTTGGTTTCCGAAAGCAAATTTACCATAGCTCAAGCTCAGTCACTCTGGCAACTTATGCTGGGAAACTAACCTGGGGCCTGTACCATGAAGCCAGATTAGCTGGCTAGCCAGGTAAGTTTCAGTTTAGTTTGCACCAATCCTGGGTTTTAGGTACCATGAAAGTGGCTTGGCTTTTAGCTGCATTCATTGCCTTAGTAATTTACACTCCACAGCTAACCTGCTCCGATGGCAGGTTATGTTCTGGTTTAGAGATCTCAAACCGAAATTTGACCAATCAGCTTCAAGCAAAGTGACACATCTCTGACGCAATAAAGCCACTCCCCCAGTTTCTCTTACTCCAAATTAAAGGACGCTACATAGTGAAACATTTTTAACCTCTTAAGACCCGAGAAAAGATTTTTAGCAAAAAAATAGTTTTTTTCATGTCTTTACATTGTTTAGAGCATTAAAAAAAAAGTTAAAAAAAAAATTATATTATATTATATTTCGTTCATAAGTTATACTATGTCCTCGGTAGAGGACATCGGGACTCAATTTAAAAAAATAAAATAAAAAGACATGAATGAACATGCATAGGCAAAAACAATAGATTTTTTAAATCACCAATACATTTTTAGTTTTCAG